TCTCTCTATAATATTACTACACTAAAAGTTTGTTTGTTTTATTGTACGTGAATATAGAACGAATGCTTTCTGTTTCGTACGATCCCGTTATTCGGTCAATGCTTTTCGGAACGATACACTTCGGTTTTATATTTAAGCGTTGCATTTGATAAGAAACTTGTTTTTAGAACAAGCTGTTTTACTTGTCACGAAACATTATAATTTAAGTTCGTCATCGCAGTTCAAGCCTAGTTATTCATCACTACATACCTAGTATAAAACAAAGTCGCTATTCGCCGTCTGTCTGTCCCTATATATGCTTAGATCTTTAAAACTATGCAACAGATTTTGATGCGGTTTATTTTAATAGATAGAGTGTTTCTTAAGGAAGGTTTATATGTATAATACAAGTGTTTATATGTATTGGACCCGTGTGAAGCCGGGGCGGATCGCTAGTTTCAAGTATAAAAAGTTTAAAGAAATTAATTAACAAATTACTCTCATATATCTTGTTAATTACTGCTTATAAAATAAATTACAGAGTAAATCGCTATAACATTAACACAGTATCCGCTACCTCATAAAGGGACCGTGACCGCAAGCGGTATGAATCATGCGCTTGCACACGCGTCGTTGGGTACCTACATCAGATTTACGCGCCAAAACACTTGCACACAACTAGACTGCAGATTTAACGTCTAGAGATGTTTATCATCATCCTGCAGCAGATATTAAAGAAGTTGTTTCATCACGTTTGACGTAAATTGACCAACATAAAATATGAGCCAAGGAATAATGTAGGTAACATAATTCATAGGGATGTGCCGTAACGTAACAGGCATTGCAGTGGGGGCTCAAGAGTAGATCCATTTAGAGATCTTTTATAGGTGCTCTTTTGGCTATCGGGTTAGTTTGAGTTGGAGTGAGTGGGATGAAACTCCCTTTAGTCTTTCTTCTGACAAAGCTAGATCTTTTGAAGATTACCCACCGTCAGTGTCATAAAAAGGGTGTCTAAATTCTAAAAGCAAAATATTAATATTGTACTTAGAGTCGAAAATGTGAAACAAGTAGTTGTCAATGACATTATTAAAATAGTGGGACAAATAGAAATTATTCTTCTGCCAATCTGAATAAAGACTAAAATCGTTTTGATGTTTACTATACCTGTTACACCAAATGTCACAAATTTTGGCACAGAAGTACTAATTACATTGTAAAGAGAAATTAAGATTCTATTTTTGGAATGTATTCACATTTGGCATACGAGATACTTATGAAGCGCTAATTTTAGTCAATACACGTGTAGTCATCTACAGGTCGACATTTGACACACAAAATGAGACATGTCGACAAATCTCTTAACTTTTTGTTTAGATTCTATAGGTGATATATTCTATGAATAATTTAGTACTTCATTGTCACTTTTTCTGTGAAACACGTGGATTCCGATTGGTATGGTGAAGTATTGTTAATTGGTTTTGATTGGCATTGTAAGCTATAGGCAAAAACTTGCTATCTCACTTGAGTCACGACATCACGGAAGTCGGGTAAAAATTAGGGTTCAGTACGGTTTAGTAATTTGTAGGAATACTGACCTAAAGAATTGAATGTTTCCATTGAAATATGTAGGTACATTGTTTGAAGATACAGGCAATCAGACATACAGCATCCTATTTGGAAGTGTCACAATATTTCCATGTGTTCTTTGTTAATTTAGTCCAAGTACGATTTCATCACTTACTCATAATCGCCTACAGAGGGTAAGTAGTATTTAACACTCGCATAAACTATGTAATTTTCACGGAAACCGTCAAATTGATTTCTTCAATTGAACGGATACGTGTATAAAGTCATTAGATAGACCGTTCAACCATGCGTTATTTATTAGGTTTTATAGGGTAATTGAAATAAGGATATTGTTATTCAAAATACATGAATCGACACTTAATTCAGGATTGTAGGTAGATTTTATTATAGGTACGATAGAATGGATTTGGCGCTGAAATCTGCGAAGAAATATCAGATTTGCCGGAGCCTATAAAAACCGAAAAATAAGATCAGAAAAGAAATAGTATCTACGCCATTCCTTTCACTTCTTTTGTAAACTAACTGTTACGTATTTTTTTTTCATTTAGAGCTAGTTTTTTTAGATAACAGATTATATCTTTAAACCGTTCTTTAGCACGTAGTTTGAGTAACATAACTGGAGTCATCTTCAGATCGTTAAGGCAAATTATAAAGCCGTTAACGTCGAAAACATGTCATACATAAAGCGATTTCTTATGCAAAGAGAATGCGAAATTATATGCAGAAGCTTATTATTTCGGCATCAAGCAAAGAAATGTTCAATTTGTTGATGTTATTAGATTTTGAAGGCCTTGACGAGTTGACAGGTTGGGTTTGAAAGGGAAGGGTCGTCGATTGCAGATACTTCAAGGTTCAACTTATGATTTGGAAGTTCATTGAACTAAGGTTTGCACATTCATCCTTTTATTTTAATTTTATTTTATTTTAAGGTTTCTGCTGCTAATGTACAAGGTGGACTTAATGCGCCGACGCCGCGCCGCGCCGTGCTTTTTAAATGTGGGATGACCGACGACGTCCGATGTTTGACGTATCATTATTACACATAATACCTATTAACTCGTCGAGTACCGGTTTTATAGACACAAATAAAGAACAATAGGTCGCGGTCACCGGTGACCGCTTGGTGCTTGACAGTTTAATAGTTACGATTTTTCATTTTCATCATCAACAAACTGTAAGAGAGACCGCTTCTGGACTATAGACCGGTTTTACAAAAGAGGGTTTTGCGATAATTTCTACACTCAGGCGCCGCGTCGTTCGTCGAATCGTCGTCGAATTGAATTTATTTTTGAATGGCTTGCATTGTACGAATCGATTTTTTGATTACATTAATACATATAATACAAATGAAACTTATATGAATTAAAAAGACACCGATCATTATTAAACGCAGTACCAACCATATTGACGTCATAGATTTTTTTCCTTAAAAACACAATTATGTTTGATACCTACTAAATAAAATAATTGGTAGAAATTAAATTAATTACTCTACCTTTGTGAACAAATTATTTTGTTGTTCGTTTTTTTAAACTTGATAAAGTAATCAACATATTTACCTACTGTAAAGCGGTTCTTAAAAATTGCGAACATAATATGATTCAGCAATTTTAATTAAAAGGACTTAAAAAGACTTTTTTAGTAGCACTGAGTCTGGAATTATGCCCGGTATATGACAATAGGCTCACCCCCTATTACATGGGATTCATAACATAAATAGTGAAAAGTGAGTGTGACAATTGTAGTGGCATAATATACACCTCTGCCTACCCCTTTGGGGACAAAGGCGTGATGTTATGTTATGTTATGGACTTAAAAAAAGATTTTATTAGGTATCTTAAAGTGAGGTTATCGATTACTGTATAATTTATCCTTAGTTCAATTTTATAGCTTTTGTCGAGAGTTTGTCTGAAATCATGACTTGATAAAAACGATGATTGACTTTGACTTTGACCACAATTAATTATTTGTGCTGGGCATATTGTTAGCAGAACTTCGTTCCATTTTTAAAGACTTTATGGTTTAAATTATATAAGGTTCAAATTAAACGAATTGAATTAATTGCTTTTTTATTTCTTGTTACATGCGAATTTACGATTTCGTTTGCAGTCTCATTATTTTGAATCAATGACATGTAGGTATCTTAGTTTAATGAACTTTAATTAGGCTAATTTAAAATGAAAAACAACGATATATACAGTTATATGCTTAAAATATGCATAAAGTTACTACCTACATTCTAAAAAAAAAGAACTTTTCTTCTATGTATATTTTTGTATATTTGCCAAATGTTTTAATTTGGAACATTTTGTCACACCCTGGGCTGTCTGGAAACATCTCTGCCTTCAAATCGAATAAAGGGTTACTAAGCTTTATTTTTTTAAAATTTATTTATTTATATCAGGCAACGAAGGCTCATATTACATACATTAAATTTATCTGTTGTCTGTAAGATGTTTTCTAGAGCTGGGCCCTGTAAAAACTGGTGTATACCCGGCATTTTTCTATACAACAAAAAGTTCCCTCAATTATAATGAGACTCGACAAAAAAATTGGTGAAAGGTGCCGCATTATTTTTAACAAGTGCACAACATAACATAACATCATCACGCCTTTTATCCCCGATGGAGTAGGCAGAGGTGCCCATTAAGGCACTTATGCCACTGTACATGTAACACCCACTTTTCACTATTTATCGTTATGAGTCCCATGTAATAGGGGTGAGCCTATTACCATATACCGGGCACAATTCCAGACTCCGTGCTACCACTGAGATTTAAGATTTAAAACCCAGTAATACTTTGCCCGAACCGGGAATCGAACCCGAGGCCCCTTGTCTGGCTGTCGCACTTGCGACCACTCGGCCAATGTAGCAACTAAGTAAGTACCTACTATCTAACGCTGACAAAAACAACGTCACAAGTCATTTTTGAAGCCTCTATAGTAGTTTGCAGTAGTTTGAAGCCTCTGTAGTTTTATTCGTGTAACTATACATGAATAAAACTTTAATTTACTAACAAGTATCCGTCTTCCACACACAGATGAGTCACGGCAACCTCTAGAATTCAATACTTTGTATACTCAAATTCATCATATAGATAAGGAAGCCGGATCATCACTATCATATCAGGCGCCACGTGTACTTGTGCACTTTCCCACCGAGACGCGGGAGTCAATAAACTGTACTGCGACATATGCACGTGGTCGTTGGCTCGACACCAACTATTTCTGTATCACTATAAGAACTAAATAATTGCATACAATAGCGTCATTGTCTCCGTGATATGTATGCAATTGTTAAAATAAAGTCTATTTTGCCTCTCTACAAGTGGTTCAATGCAGCTCAATATCAATTGAAAACAAAATTTAGCTTCTCGACTGATAGGCGAGTAGTAACACTTCCAAATTCCCCTGATTATGTTTTTTTTTATTAGATGGACCGACGTTTGACCACTATATCGCCTGGTGGTAAGCGATGATGCGGCCTACAATGGATTTGAATGGGTCACGTCGTCCCATAAGTAACCTATTCACTCGGGTCTTGAAGACACCCTTCCCAGTTGAAGAAAACTATTATTATACGTTTTACGATTATTGAAATTTTAATGACAGTAAGAGGTCTGGAATGATATCAGCTGTGACTATAACGGTATACTTTACTCAGTCAGGTTAGAAAATAAGAAAAATAAGTGTTTATAGGGATTGCACTTCTTCATCTTTCTTTTTCGGGAAATAAATACGAGTGACTCAATCTTATCTTATTTGCTGTAATACGTAGGTATGTATGTACATAAAACGTGACTTGTTGTTATTGTTTTATTTTAGACAATCCGGAATTTATATTATCTTCTACCTAAAGTTTACCGGAGTAGTGACCGACTATCAATTAAATACCAGAAATGTTAATTAATTTTATACACCTATACCTATGCATACTTAATTCATATAGGTAGGTAAGTAGGTACAGTCGTATAGTATTTTTATCACCTATTTCAAATACCAAATTAATTTTATTAGGTAGTAGACTAAGTAGTCTCCTCTGGTGCGTATGTCCATGAGCGGCGTTGATTGCTTACCATCAGAGCCTAAGAACTGTTCAATCCCCAACCAGTCACCGGTGACCGCTCTCCACTGACTCCATTAAAGACCTTATTTCCGATGTTTAGAGACTACTTTTGTATGAACAAATTTTGGGAATTTATATCAGGTGATTGATCAGGGGCCTTAGTATGAGTTTGGTTTACATTTAAAGTAATCGAGACCGCGTTCGGCGCTCTGATTCGTTAGTTCATTGGAGCCGGCCAATCAGAGTACCGATAGCGGTCTCATTTCAATTAATTTAAACGTAAACTCGTACTAAACCCTGAGATGATCTGTTAGCTCGTTATTGCATAAAAATTGTATGCATATAGCTGCAGCAAGATAAATTAAAAACGTACAGACCATTACAAGTAATACTAAGGAACAAATAACATCTATATTTTAAACATTGATTGATTGATTGATTGACTGCCTGATTGTTCCCAGTGAGTTGCAATTTTTTCCCTTCATAACATTCGTTGCATGATTAACTTATTCAAAATCAAAGTGCATTACTCTTTATGTATTCAAATGTAAGATGTCAATGAACTCAAAAGGCAAAAAATATTTTGAAATCATTATATTGTTTGATAAAAACAAAACAAATATAACATGTTATGGGTATATATCCATATCGATATACGTAAACTTTGAGGTTGTCCTCTAAAAGTTGATGTTTGTTGACAAATTATATTCTTTGAACCGAGTTAAAGCGATCAAGAAAATTTTTTCCCAACTGTCACTAACCTAATCTCATTGCTGGAGACCAGCTAGAATATATATATACTATATATGACTTTTTATTAGTTCCAAGTTCTCTAAAGGCTTTCGAAATGATCACTATTTGGCATTTTGCAAAAAATTCGTTAACAATTTCTCTAAAGTACCATTATCGATTCTCAATAAAGGACCCAATAATATGATTAATATATAATACTTATCTGATTATACAAAACCGTACTCAACATACAAGTGCAAGGTCCGAATGCAGTCAGGTCACATAACTGTTTCTTCGCCGCAGCCGAAGCCCGTCAAGGGCCGTGGTGGGGTGTTTCCATGGCATATTCATTAAGATACGAGAAACCTTCCATCCTATCAATATAATGATGCTTTTACTTCATGTATGCATTAATTTACAGTTACGAATGTAGTCCTGACGTTATTACGTCGATAAACTTGATAAAACTGTAAAAGCACGAAAATAAATATTTTAAACCTTCATATTATAAATGTGAAATTGTTTTTGTTTGGATGTTTAAATGTTTATCCGTCAATTACGCTAAAACTACTGAATGGATTTTGATGAAATGGTATACAGGCAAGGTATGGGCTGATTAAGGTAATAGGATACTTTTATCCCCATTAATTACTCTCATGGGATAAAACAGTAATCATATTCTCCGCGGACGAAGTCGCAGGCAACAGCTAGTGTTTCATATATGTACTTCCTTGACTTATTACTCATAATTAATGGAATATAAAAGTCATAGTAATTAACATTTCTAATTTATGTTCGTATCTATTTAATCAAGGCAAGAATGAAGTTGTAATTACCTGTCATGTTATATGAATACTTCCAATTTCATTGCTAATCGTCACCATTTGTCATAACACAATTATTTTACGACTTATATTATGAATAATAATAATTTAGAACCTTTGTTATAGTTTTACGCTATTACAGAGAGCGATAAAAGTAATAGAAAACAAATGATGGCGCCACATTCGTTTAAAGCAACTTTTCGTATAAGGCACAATTCATAAATATTATGCTTGCATGCATGCACCTTGACAACATCTTGAGGAAATCTGACCTTATAATTTCAAATCAACAATCTTCCTTGAGCAATCAGGGTGATTGATGGTCAATAATTTTTCCGTGATGATTTTACTACTATAAAATTGTTGTTCATGGCGATCAAAAATGTATCCTCTTCTAAACTTTCATAATAGTTACCACATTCCAGTATTATATTTAAATAATAAATAGCCTATTAGGTAGTAAGTATAAAACCTGATATTTATATTGAATACTAAGTGACATCAATGGCGTAGTGCCAAAAGAAGGGCAATGGGAACAATTGGCACGCATACACGATTTCCAGGCAATATTTGAATAATTTATGTAAACAGGAAACTACCTCTATATAACTTTGTCCTCCTATACGCAATTTTAACTTAGGTATATAAATAAATCAATAAGGAGATCCTTATAGACAGAGATTTTTTTTAAGGGGGGAAAATCATCGAATGACTGCTCCCGTCTGGGTGAGGCGGAAGGGAGTGTCAGACTCTTACTGACTAAAAACCACCCCGTTCCTTCTCCTGCACGTCGAGCCGGAGCCCCGGTTACCCGTTAGGTACTCCGCGACTCCGAATCGGCATCGGCCCTATTGGGCCCCATCTGTGGTGGTCTGATGGCTCTTTGAGGCCGTACGCTCGGGTTATAGACAGAGATAGGGAGACTTCGGCTGAATGTTTTCGATGGGCCAGACTAATTATAAAAGGCGTTAACAATTAACTTGATTATTGGATCTGCTCGTATTTGACTATATAGAAGTCTTATTCTTACTAATATTATAAATGCGCAAGTTTGTGGGGATGTATGTGTCTTTGTTACTCTTTCACATCAAAACGGCTGAATGGATCGAGGTGAAATGGAACAGGGGTAGATTCTGACCTGGTAACCCATAGGGTTTTTTTTTTAAGGGGGGAAAATCATCCAATGGCTGCTCCCGCCTGGGTGAGGCGGAAGGGAGTGTCAGACTCTTAATGACTAAAAACCACCCCGTTCCTTCTCCTGCACGTCGAGCCGGAGCCCCGGTTACCCGTTAGGTTCTCCGCGACAACCCATAGGGTACCTACTTTATAAACCACGAGGTTTTTTATTTTGGTATAAACCGGCCTTTTGGGGACTAGGTATTTGAGGATTGTTGAGGATTCAGGGATTGGGGAGATTTGGGGGATAATTGGGAAAACTGAATGCTATATCACTTTCTAGCTTCTTGACTATTTCCAGGTATAAAATCACACCATAAAAACGCTCCATTATGACGTAGAAGAAACAAACAAACAAGTATAAGTACTTTCGCTCTTAGGTATAATATTCATAATTATGTCTAAGGATTTCCTCAAGGTCTAAGATTCCTTTAGGTACCTACATTTATTACACAGATAAGATCACAACTGTAACTTCCTTCAACAGACAAGTCTTCTTACACTTTATTTCGTAATTTATTGCTATAAAGATAATTAAGAACTGTCATCAAGTCTATTTGCTTAGTAAAATTAACTGTTTCCTAGGTAATAAATTCTGATAAATGGCTTCCTACTATCTTCTTTATTAAATTATACGTTTAAGTATTAGCTTTCTAAATGCATTTAGGTAAGTACAACATGATCATGTTTTTTATTGACGGCCAGTTTCGGTCCTTAGAGTTGATTTAAATGTTGAAGATTAAATTTTGACATACGCTTCATACGCTCCTAAAAATCTGTCGAAATTCTATCCGTAGTCATCAACGACATCAGTTTAAGCTTAGGACTCACGAAGCCATTTGCTCCCGCGCCCGCCATGGTTGCGGCCTTGCGGCCCCGGAGCCTATGTAGAATAAAGATAGATATATATATGTAAACATTTTAATCACATTCCACGACGCGTCTTACGCCCGCGGGTCCTACAGCGGCGGGCCAGGGTGAAAATCGCGTCATGAGTCCTTGCTCTTATATACAGATTGGTCTGATTGGTTATATTAAAAACCACTGGTCATGTTACGTCCTTTTGAAAAAGTTAATGTATAGTTTAGTGGTAATTTACATCACAGCTAAACAGATTAATATCTACTTCTTTTAAATACTGATACTATACTTAGGTACATTTGCAGGACCATAATCTTTAGATGCTCTTATGATTATTGATATAGCGTAGCAATACAGTTTGATCGTTTCGTAACAATGTAAGTAGGTTTTTTTAAAAAGATTCTCAGAATTTTTAAATTTTATGATGACGTAAACTGCATTGGTTTATGTAATCTGACCGGAAATCCTTTCAAATAAATAATTAGTGAAATCGTTACTAGTAGGACCTAGTTCTCATATGATTCACTATCCCCGTGTTCTACTAGGCTATTCTGTAGCTTTCAATTCGAAGGATCGAAGATGAACTCCATTGCGGTCCGTCATGTCATTGGTTGGAAAAATAATCTCGACCAATGACGGATGAGAACGCGATCAAGCTCACTTCGAAAGTATAAATTAACAGTTACAAAAAGTCTAGTTGATCCTAAATGAGTAAATGATTGTGTTTCTGCTTTCATATAATTATGCTTAGTTATTTTTATCTGTTTTGAGACAATGAACGATTCGTAGAAACTGCCACTGTTCACTGC